TGTCTAATTACAATCATTCCTAAAATGGGGAGACAAAATCCAATCAATCAAAGATACTTTCCATATCTTGCACTCGAGCGAACCTAGACTAAATGATGGTCCCATTCGGATGGGCCGAAAAGGAAGGACGGGCTGGGCCGAAAAGGGACTTGGGCTTGTTGAGAGGGAAGCCCAAGTCAAGTCAACTCCTCATGTCCAAGAAAGCCTTGGGTCGGGGGGGGGGAGCCGAGATACTTCGAGTGAGCCGGGGATAAGGTCAGCACTTCCATGGATAGTTCTCCGATGCTTCGTGGTTCGGGCATGCTTGGTTTGGTCCGAGGGAAGGGGTTCCATCTCCAGTCATGGTCCATGCGTGGTCCGAGCGAGAGGGAGATTGGACGGGTCGGGAGCGATGTCCGAGAGTGAGAGGCCCGCCAATCGACCAAGGCACGTACATGCGAAAGAAAATGGACGCGAAAAAGTTTCCTCTTTCCTTGTTCCTAACATGCTCCCCCACTTAAACGCGCGACGTTCCCGTTGCGCCTTATTCCTGAAAGCAAGAAAACAAACTAGAACCACTTGGCCTCGAATTCACGGGTGAGTCCCGCAAACTCTTGGCAGTGATCCGAGGCCTCCCAAGTACTCTCCCAATGATGTTCGCCCTTCCACTTGATCAAGTACTCCCGCTGGGTTGGGGAGAACTCACGGCAAGAGAGGACGGCCTCGACCATCTTCCCATGTGGTGTGGCCGGGGAGTGCTGCTGAGGTCGAGACTTGGGCTTGGCCCGAGAAGAGTACATAGCCGCGTACCTTGATGGGGAAGGCCGGACAGGCGATGAACGTCGGGATTGAGCCGGCTTACCCATCTTGGTCGGGCCTCGGTACTGCAAGGTCGAGATAGCGACGCCCTTTGGGATGCACCGAAGTGGAATGATGGTTGGTTGAGCATCGTCTAAGAGGATCAAGGACTTGTGCGAGGCCGGGAGCTGCATGTTGGCCGTCCGGAAGAAGGGGAGGCCGAGAACAAGCTTGAAATCATCCATGGGGAGGATGGTGAAATCAAGGCGAGTGTCCCAATCTCCAATCTGGATCCGCACATTCCGAGCTATCCCCGTGGCTACTTGAGCCGGGGAATTGACCGCCTTGATGGTGCCTCCGTTCGGGTCCGTCTTAAGGTTGAGCATTTTGGCAATCCCTGCGTCTATGAAGCAATGAGACGCACCGGTATCGAGCATAGCGGGGAGAATGTTACCGTAGATGTTGACATCCGTGTAGAGTAAGCCGCTGTCCTTGGAGTTGGACTTGGGAGAGTCGGACGCCATGTGGCCAAGGTGCTTGGCCTCATCGTTCGTAAGTAGCTCTTCTTCTATGCCTTTGTCTTCGAAATCCTCGATCTCGTCGACTAAGGCCATGATAGCAGTGAGTTTAGCACGTCTTGGACACTCTCGAACCCAATGAGGACCGCCGCAATGGTAGCATGGGGCAGGAGGTTTGGTCGGCCCTTTGGCCTGACCTTTATTCGTCGGGGCAGCTGCAGGACGTGGTTCGGGATGGTTGTGGGATTGTGTTGGTCTCAGTGCACGTCCGGAGTCCGGGATTGACTCAGCAATTGCGATTGCGTCGTCCAGTGTCCGCGGATCCCTTCGGTTTACCTCTAGCCGAACATCATCCTTAAGTCCATCCCTGAAAAAGAATAGCGCGTCCTTGTCGGACAGATCAGTAATCTCGAGACATAGAGTCGAGAACTCACTTATGTAGGCGAGTGCGCTTCCCGTTTGTCGTAGGCGTCTGAGTTTGGTGCGTGCCTCGTCCATGGCGTTCGTCGGGACAAAGTGTCGCCTAAGCTCGGACTTGAACTGTGCCCAAGTCTGGACCCGAGGCTCTCCTCTGTCTCGATCGGCACACATACGTCGCCACCAAAGCATTGCGGTCTCTCGGAGATAGGTTGGGGCATTCCTTATCCGTGAATGGTCGTCCATGATTCCAAGAGCTTCGAAGTACTGTTCGAGTCTGAACAGGAAGGTCTCTACAGTCGGGGAATGTCGAGAACCATCGTATGTGGCTGGTTCGGGGTTTCGGACAACCGTCGTACCATGAGCTGCTATGGGTGCTGGCCCAGCTGCCTGTAAATGAGTCCTACACTCAAGTTTGAGGTCGTCAATTACCTTGTGTAGGTCGGAGATGCGTTGCTCGTAGTTGTCTTGCATGGTCGTCATCTTTCGACCATAGTCCTCGTGTGTGGCCGAGATTTCTCGGCGCATCGCTCGTAGTTCTCCCTCGAACTTTCGGTTAAGTTCGGAGATTGATGCCTTGACCCCCTCCCCTATAGCTCCTATCTCTTGCTCAAGCCCATCCATCCGTGCATCCGATCGTGCCATGAAGCCATCGTCGGGTACAAGGCATGGCTCTCCTTGAGGCAATGAGGTGTCATCGGGAGAGGTGAGGTCTGTGGCCTGGGGGTCCGTGTGTTCCTCGGGAGTGTGCTCTTCAGCAGTTCGCTCCTCGGCAGCTCAAGCCCTGG